TCCTCTGTTCTCTGCTCCTGACAACTAAGTCCGTGATATCCACATGATGACCTCAATCAACCAAACTTGTGATCTTGCCAAAAAAAGTCTCAGCTCATTTGACAGGGGATTTTTTCCTGTGCCTCAGTTTCCCCCTTTGAAATGTGGCCAGCGCCCTGTCCCTGCTTTTGTACCAGGAGCCTGATGTGCGCTGTCTCGAAGCCAAGAGCTGGAGCATGCCGTTCTGCCTGTGTGACTCATGTGCCCATCACATTATGCTACTTGGGTCATGCCAGCATTCACTGTTTTTAGTAGCAGGGCTGCCGGTAAGGGAGAGCGGCCTGGTAGAGAAGGCACTGGCCGGGGGTGATGAGAACCTACTGCTCTGCCTTCCAAGTCCTGCTCTGCCACAGCCTCTCTGCCAGGCTTTGGGTAAGTCACTTCAACCCTGTAGGCCTCAGGTCCCTGCCTGTAAAAAGGAGCTACAAATCCTTCCCTGATTTGTCTTGTCTCTTGACAAGCTGGAGGCAGTTCAGGGCAGGGCAGGACTCAGCTTTATGTCGGTGCAGCGCCTAGGGCTCACACGCCTCCAGGCTGAGGAGTGCAAGTACTCCTGTACATATAATACCTGATGGCTCCACAGTCCATATTGCAATCCCTAATTCATAGGATACCCCCCATGCGAGAGGGGCAGGTGGGGAGCTGCCCTTGGCAGCCCTGTCAGCACGGTCTGGGCCTGGCATGGTGGGAAGGCTGAGGGAGGGGAGCCTCTGAAACCTAGAGGGATGCCTGGGCAGGAAAACAGACCCCGCCACAAGCAGGACTCAGCAGAAACCAGCGCAGGTGTTGGTGGTAGACTCCTTCCCTATCATTGCTTTGGGTGAGAAAGCTGAGTGGGAGCAAACTGGAGACCTGCCAGCCGGGGAATCAGCCCAGAGCCTTTCAGCCCTTCTGCCCCAGGCAGCCATCCTAAAGCCCTGCCCTGGCCACCCCTTGTCAGCTGCACTCCATCCCAGGCCCAGGCAAATGTCCATCTCTCTGCTGAGCCTGTCAGCAAGGAGACCTGTTGTCAGTGACAGCTGCTGTGACATGAAACTGGGCTGAGACCGCGCCACACTCGTGCCACACTCCACAATCCAGCTGATTCAGACTCTGCTTACAGCTACCCAGAGGGGTGGCCGCCTGGGCCCAGTGTCCTCAAAGAAAGCTATTCAGGATCTGCCTGGAGCCGCAATCCTTATCCGGCATACATAATTCACACCCGCGTGCCTTGGAGCCGATCAAATGCTGCAGCCTCCCTTTGCCGACTCAGCACTTGTGCTGCGCAGGAGAGCGTGCTGGGTCCGTGCAGCAGTGGCCAGGGGTCGGGTGGGGTCTACGCATCACCCGAGGCTGAGAAGCTGTTGGTAGAAGCCTGAGGCTGCGAGAAACTCCTTGCTCAGCAGTTTCTCCTTTGTGGCATTTATTTCATCCAACAAAATCCAATCTTTTCCTTCCCGTCCCACCTCGTTCCTGACCTTTCATACACTCCGTGCTTCCTGTTTGCTGTTCCCAGGGAAGTGGCATCCAGTACAGTCTGGCCAGTGTGGGCTAGGAGCCCCCCTCCCTGCCGCCCTCCAGCCTGGGTCTTACTAGTGAGCCAGACAAGGAGGACAAGGAGGACTCTAGGTGACATGCAGGACTGCGCTCTCTGCCACAGAGGGTCCCAGGGCTGGGGGTTTAGATCTAGTGCATGAGAGACTGGGCATCGAGGCTCAGCTCTGCTGCGAACCACTTGGGCAGGTTTCTGTGCTCTGACTCCCTTCTCACCCTTGCCTTGTCTTGGCTCCTAGCGTGAGTGACTGGTGCCTCCTGAATCTGGAGGGGCACCCGCAGAAGCCACCGAAGGCAGCAGCCCTGTTAGGGGGCCACCAGCCCCATTGGGGGGGTACGTGCACCCCTGTGCACCCCCTACCAGTCGCCTATGGCTCCTAGACTGTCAGTGCCTGTCTCTCCCTATGTGTCTGTGCAGTATGTGACACAGCAGGGCCCTGACCTGTTTTGGGCGGGCTTCTTACTGCTCCCAGCAGAGTGATAATGAATAACAATGATAAAGCTGCGTGGGCCAAATACATCTTTGATGTGGAAGCTAGTGGTGTTGCACTAGCTCCTCCGCCCTATGCTGCCAATGCAGGAGCCTCCCAATTATAGACTAAAAACCCACTAACTCTCTGGTGGTTTCTCAGTGCTGGGCTAGCACACTGCAGCTGCTTGGTAGGGGGAGTCAATTCTTTTACAAGCAACTCTTTGACTTGCAATAATCAGAGACCAGCAGCACCCCCAGAGCCCGTCCAAAACCACGTTCCTGTGATAAATATATGGGTCTGAGCTGGGAGCTCTTTAATTCAGAGGGCTTTTATCAGTAAGCTGTGCCCTGCAGCCCTGGAGCCAAACAGAGCCCAGCTCCTTTGAACACCTCCAGCAAATGGGGGTGAGCAGGTCTTGAAATCAGATGCTCAACTTGCCAGCAGCCAACCTGAAGCTCCTCGCCAAGCAGGCTGTGAGCATCACTCGGATACATTAACTTTGCGCTGCTGGGTGCATCCACGTAAGGTGCTCCTGTCCTGTGCTATACTGTCCTGGTGCTCTCTCCCCTGTGCTGAAGGTTTCCACACTAAGGAATCTGCAGTGGGGAGAGTCTGGTTTCAATTGGCCTCTGTGCTCCTCGGTATCTCATTGCAAGTGTCTGCTGTTTTAGAAAGAAACTGGGAGTCAGCTGGATGAGAGTCCTGGGCGTAGTGTGGGGACAAATTTGGCATGATCAGCTGTGCAAATGCCACACAATGCTCCCAGCTGCCCTCCTTCCATGCTGTCCCAGTCCTGGGATCCTCAGCTCAGCTACACGGGCCTGTCTCAGCCCTAACCTACACCCTTTGTGCCCCCTTGATATTCCCTTTTGGGTCCCACTCAGAGCAGAAAGTAGTTCTGCCAACCCCAGAAGTGAGGCAGGCCAGAAAACAGCACATGATTTAATAAAGACAGTGATAAATGGGGTTCTCATTCTTTGCCTTTGGGTTTTAAGACTTCATATCACATTCACTTAACATTTTCCAACTTTTTCTCCAGCCACAAAGGCTGGAAAATCACCTCTTTTTTAAAGGAAAGCTGAGATTCTCACCTAATCACCTGACTCCAGGAGCTGGGGCTTCAAGCAAACATAGCACCTATCATGGGACTGGCAGCGCTGAGAAACTGTTAATTATGCCCCGTTGTGCCATGATTTCCCAGTGGGGGCATTAGGCTAAGCAAAGCCCCAAAACTCCTTACTCTTGCAACCTCTTAGGGATTCACATCCATGTTTGCAGACGGGTAAGTGAGCAGGCGGTTAACCCTTCTGAGCCAGCCCCAGCGGGGGGTCCTTCTTACAGCAGGCGCCTCAGGGAAGAGCTCTGAATAGAGTTGGCATGTAAGACCCTACCCATTGCCTCATGCAAACCGGCAGGGGAGAGTGGGGCCTGGGTGGAAGAGGGGGCTGCAGACTCCATCTCAGGACCCCCCCCCTTACTTACCCAATGTGATCGGTTTACTGTCCTCCTGATCTGAGCCGATCCCTGTCCTCGGGCTGCTGCTTTGCTCTGAATCTGAAATGAAAAGTGACATGTGAGGCTCTGCTCCTTTGATGTATCTGCAGCCCAGTGCTTAGAGACATCACCTTGCCAGCACCTCTACCCAGCCCTGCCCCATTCCTGTCTCATAGCTTCATCTACCCTCCATCAGTTGTAGAGGCACCACCCTGAGCAGCACCCCCACCGCTGTCTGGATGGAGGGACCTGTTTGCCTCAGCCACGGCATCTCAGCATCCCTCCCAAGCAAGAAAAAATGGAACTAGACTGTAGCAAATAGGAAGGGAGCGGGGGGACAAATCTCTTCGGAGGCTGCTGGACCCAGACAGACACAGCAGTTCTCCCTGCCTCCCAGCCAGCACTGCCTCAGGGCCTCAGACTGAGTCTTGCTAAATCCTGGCTGCACTAAGTGACAGCAGGCACAATGACAGCATCAGAGCAGGGCAACAGATGGCCACTGGCCACCACAGCGCTCCCTGGACCAGCAGCATCACCCTCTCACGCTTCCCCTGCGCAGCATGCTCCGAAGAGCCTTACACCAACCCACACTGTGCCTGTGGTGAGAAATGGCCCCACATAAGTGACACGGTCTCATTCCCCCAGAGGTGTAACAGAGCAGCCGTGCAACCAGGGAGCGGTGACACAGGGGCAGTGGCAACTTCTGGCTGCTGCTGGCAGTTGTGCAGCTGATAATTTTGCCCCCACCAGTTCGCTGCCCCAGTTGCTTGGCCTTAGTTATGATGCTGCGCCCTGTATCAGTTAGACGCTGGATGCTGACACTAGGGTTTCTGTCTGTCTGCCAGCCCCACCCAGAGGACCAGTGAGAAGTCAACCTTGTACGGGAATACGAGTCACTGACATTGTTTTAAGCAACCAGCTCTGGGATTGACCACAGCAGCCACCTAGCAATTGCAGACAAGCTTCACATCCCCATTTCAGCCCTGAAATGCATCCACCTCTGGGGTGGACCCAGCAGCCATTTCCCAGGGCACAGCACTGCAACTAGAGAAGTCTGCCAGATCCAAATGAAGCTGCAGAAGGCATGGGGAGGGGGGGCGGCGGAGGCAGACTGGAACTGCCCAACGGTGGCTGATCAAGAGGAGCCGCTGAACAAGAAAGGCCCTTCCCTTATACAGTTAATAATGAATAGTGACCGCGAGTGGTCCTGGCCTCTTAGGGTTCCCATGGCAACAGACAAACACTAATGGCTGCTTTATGTAATATCATTTGCTGCCGTAATGGCCCCCTCCGTGGTCTGCACTCACTAACCAGAGTTCACTTTGCTGCCCCGTGCGATGATTAATGAGCCGCTGTGCCAGACGGAGCCTCCTCACCTCACCGCTGCCCGCCCGCCGCCGGTAATGGAGGAAGCGCGTGACCTCAGAACAGATGGCGCCATTAAACAGCCCCAGGTTACACCACCGTGGCTTAACCCTCCCACCCCCTCCAACGAGGCGGCCGTGGATGCCTGCAGAAATCACTGCTCCCCACTGCAGCTGGGCTCTGGAGCAATGGCTGCCTCACTTGCAGAGCCTTTGCCTTGGCCACTGTTCCCCTGTGCAACAAGAAGTCCAGGCCACTTATAGGCAGTGGTGTCAAGGGAAATCACAGAGCTGCTGGAACTGCTTTCTCCAGCCCGTGAGCCACTGCCCCACGGGGCCAGCAGCTGCCCCCTCCCATGGCTTGTGGTACAGCGCTGGCCCCTGCGGGGAGCTTGCAGGCCTGCTTGGGGCCAGCGGGTCTTGCAGTGCAGTTGCAGAGCACGAGGCCTGATGTGATGTCATGGCACAAATATAGCAACACCGTGTCAGCAAGCTGGGCAGGTTGGGCAAGCTGGTGCCCATCCTGAGTCTGACACCAGTGTGTTTGCTGCCCGGAGCATCTGCCTGGGCATTTCCCTGCTCGCTCTGCCACGTGGCTGGGTGGCTCCCAGTCTCCATGCTTTGGCCATGTTCTCTCCCTGGCCCAGCTACCGGACATTGCTCATGGCTGAGTGTCTCTCCTGCCTCTTCCCTTCCTGCCCCAGCTCTGCACGCCCCAGCACGCATGTCCGCCTTGTGTCTATGATCCCAAAGCCCAGCTGAGGAGCCTTGCCCTGCATGGTTTGGCTCTGCTGTGCTCCCAAAACCCTCTGACCCTTAGGCAGGAAGATGTTCAGGGTACTCAGCTCCCAGCCTGCCTCCAGCATGACGCCCTGTCTGCAGAAACTCCCAGGATCAGCCCTACTGTCCCCTCTGTGTTAAGTCCTTGTCCTTGAATGGGGCACACATTTTTCTAGGGCTTCCATGGTCCCCAAGTTTTGATATGTCTCCTTCAAGACCTTTCCCCACTCCTTTCCTGATCGAGGGCCCATGGCATAGACCAGGAATTCTCAACCAGGGTGTCAGGGCACCCTGGAGTACTGTCACATACTTTGAAGGTTGCTCCGAGGTATGGGGAGATAAGCAGATTCAGGCTTGTCCCTCTGCAAGGAGGTAAGCACTGCAATACATAACTTCGTTTTTTTCAGTTGGTGGCACTCACTTCACTGGAGAAGTGCCTCGAGTCCAGTGAGGGGTGCCTCAAACCCAAGAAGTGTGAGAACCACTGACACGGATGCAGCGCCAAACCTACTGCATATACTTCCCTCTTACACGTGTGCCTACCACGTATTGCCATCCACTGTCACATACCACGGCATATCCCCTACAATATATACACAGTGCATGTGCCCCTTCCACGTATCCATTGCCCATACCCAGTGTCTCTGCACCTGACCACATTAAGGACAGCACCAATTGGGATGTATAATTTTGCTCCTTTTCCTCTTGCCAGCTCCTCTGACTTTCTCAGCCAATTCACACGGCTGCCTGAACCCGTGGCATGCCTGCTCTGATCTCTAGGGGGGAAGTGCCTGTTGCCATCACGTAGCAGGTGGTGGCATTTTGCCTTCCGGCTTGTGAAATGTCCATGACATATTTGCCACCTGCGCACCTAGCTCTTAGATGCTCCAGCACTCCCTGCCCCAACTGCTGGTCCCGCGTGGCAATTCAGCGATGACTGGGCAACTTATTTCCTTCATTAACACCAAGGACTAAAATACATACTAAGCCCAGCCTCGCTGCTCCTGTGATGGAGCCTGTCTCATGTTATGCAACCCGTTCCTCTGTGTCTGGGGGGGGGGACGCACGTGTGAAGCGTATGTGTGCGCACGTGTGTCTGCGCATGCGTGCTACCAGCTCTGCATAGTGTCCTGCAGGATATTTGGCAACTTTCAACTTCCTGCAGAAGCTTAACCCTTTGTACACTGGGACCTGGAACCAGGATCCTGGTCCATTTGTGGTCACTGCAGAACCCGTGACAATGTCTGGGCATTAATCCCAGCATCCTGGCCAAAGTCCTGTCAAACAGCTTCCTATGATTCCTCCTGCTTTCTCATCTGGAGACAGACTCTCCCTTCGCTTCCTGTTTCACGTGGCTCTGAGCAGTGTCACAGCCAGCTGTGAAGTACACCCGCTCCCCACTGTGCAAGCTGCTAGTCCATCCCTATGGGGCTGCCTTGGTTGATCTTCCCATTCAGAAGGAGCCTTGACTGTGTACAGACTGCCAGATCTGAGCCTCACGGTACCCTCTGTGTCGAGCCAGCTCCTGGGAGCAGAGGCCAAATCCTGACTTCAGTTTGGGCCGCCTAAATCCTGGGCAGCTCCACTGATTTCGGGGGCGGGGGGTGCTCCAGTTTTGCAGGGCTCACATGCCTGCCAGTCCCTCCCCAGGGAAAGGCAAGAACACATAATAATACTGCAAAGGAGAGCCCAGCCTGGCTTGCATTTCTGAGAGCAATCATGCAAAGGAAGTGCTTGCTGCAGCCCCCTCTCCCCTCCCGTCCTGTTCCTTCCGCGCCTCATCAGAAACACACTCACGCTGGCAGGCTGCAGCCCAGCACTCCCCGTCCCTGCTCCATCTTATCTAAAAATAATCAGACTCCTTGGGCAGCCTTGCAGACGCTGAGCTCAGCGCTATTGGTTTCTAGAGCATCCTGGATTAAATTCACAGCTGGCTTCCCTCCCCCACCCTCATCTACCATGCAGGGCCGTGCTGCTGCTCTGCTCGCTGCCCCGGAGCGCGGCACAGCAGGCCTGACCACAAAGCTGAGGTTCAAAAGCTGATACCCCTGGCTGCTGGGGGAAGGCCCGTGCCAATGGTGGGTGCAGAGCAGCCAGTGCCAGCCTGGCCCATGTGTGCTGCAGCTGCTGCCAAAATTCAGCCTGCATGGCCTGCCTCTCAGCTGGCACTGCAGGACCCCAGGGGAAGGTCCTTCTGACTCTGCTATTAGGTGCTGGGTAGCCCCAGGTCCCCTCCTCTGCACTTGGGCACAGTTTTGGGCCCTCATCCTCAGCTACGCCCAGCCCTGGGTGCCCCAAGCAGGGTGAATGCGATGCTCCAGGACAGGACTTGGTCTGTGCCCCAGACTCCCCCTAGGCAGGATGCAGTGTCTGGGCACAATGAGCCCAACTTGACTCTTCACCACAGCATGATGCTGCAAGCCATCCCGTCCGACTCACTGGCCCTTGGCCCAAGCCAGAAATGAAAGTGAAGCCCTCAGCCAAACAAAATGCCCATTGATTTCAGCTGGGGCTCTTGCCTGAGCAAGGACCACCGAATTGAGCCCCCGGTATACAGCCAGCCGAGGGAGAGATACTTTTTTGACGATAATGCTTTACCGAGACTGATGCATTAACCCCAGTGCAAGGGTGAAGGAAGGGCATATCCGGCCCAGGGTCCCCATGCAGTGCCCGAGCAGGGCACGTGAGAGCGAGCGGGCTGTAGCACTAGTAGGACGGACCCACATACAGATCACTACAGATGAGATGCTCCCAAATCCCCTGTGCTGGTAACAGGGGATTTCAGTCCCCCACAATTTGTGGTGCTGTGGGATGCAAACCTGGGGGTACGAGTCTGATTTGAATTGAATTGTGCAAGGGGATGGCAGTTCTTAGGGAGTTCATTCTCTTCCCTGCTCTGAGCATTGGCCTGCCTCA